TTTTTTTTTTGGAGTTTCACTCTTGTTGCCTAGGCAGGAGTGCAGTGGCACAATCTTGGCTCACTGCAACTTCTGCCTCCCGGGTTCAAATAATTCTCCTGCTTCAGCCTCCTGAGGGCTTTTTGTATTTTTAGTAGAGATGGAGTTTCACCATGTTGGCCAGGCTGGTCTTGAACTCCTGACCTCAGGTGATCCACCTGCCTTGGCCTCCCAAAGTGCTGGAATTACAAGTGTGAGCCACTGTGCCTGGCCTCTTTGATTTTTTTTTTATTAGTGTTTTATAGCTTTTAGCAGACAGACCTTGCACATATTTTGCAAGATTTATACCTAAGTATTTCATGTTTTCTGGTACTACTGTAAATAATTCTTCAAATTTTTTTTCAAATTCCAATTGTTTATTGCTAACATATAGAAATATATTTTTTTATGTTGACCCTTTCCTTTTATTGTTAATCTTTATTATGCATTAACTTTCCTCTTACCTTTCTCACACAAAGACTTTATGGCTATCACAATGTCCTAAGATGGAATGGTAAATACACTCTTTTTTTCTTTTTCTCCTGAGACCAAGTCTCGCTCTGTTGCCCAGGCTGGAGTCCAATGGTGCAATCTCAGTTCACTGCAACCTCTGCCTCCCCAGGTTCAAGCAATTCTTTACCTCAGCCTCCTGAGTAGCTGGGATTACAGGTGCCAGCTAATTTTTGTATTTTTAGTAGAGATGGGGTTTCACCATCTTGGCCAGGCTGGTCTTGAACTCCTGACCTTGTGATCCACCTGCCTTGGCCTCTCAAAGTGCTGGGATTACAGGCATGAGCCACTGCGCCCGGCCATACACTCCTTTAAATTGAGTGAGGAAATGAAACTCAGCTATAAAGAAAGGAAAACAAACTGTAGAGAGAAGAAAATAGACTACAGCTAACTGATTAATATATTGTAACTCTTAAATCACTCTTGTATAGAAATGCTGTAATCCCATTACATTTCTGTGTTTTCTACCTGTATAAGCAAAAACTTAACTCTTAACTTTGGAGCACTGATCCCTTTTCTCTGGAGTCTTTGTCTCCTAGATGACCATTTTCACCTTCTCACTTGAATAAACTTTAAACTGGATTCTGATCCTTTTAATTCTTTCAGGTTTACAGAAAGAAGATTCAAGCTTCAGCAGGCCAGGTCAGTTGGACAAGGTGACCTTTAAGCCCGCTTCTAGCTTCATGAAAACAAATCTGAAACTTGCCCAATCTCAGGAAAGGTGGTGAAAACACCTTGTACCAGAATGGTCTGGTGACAGGTGTGTCCTGTGCACTCAGTGTTCTCTAAGTACTGGGAGAAGCAGGTTGTCTAAAAGGAGACGCCAGGAAGAGGCAGGAGATGCCAGCATCCTGATGTGCTCAGCAGCGTCATCTCATTCACCAGACAGGCAGCCCTTGTGCCCCTCCACTAAGGCTAACTGCCAGGAGGGTGAGGTGTGGGTGGGTTTTATTCACTGCCCCATCCTCAGAGGCCAGCAAAGTGCATGGAAGAGGAAGAAGTCTCTAGTGTTTACAGACAGACCAACACTCCCACCCTGAAAGGACACAGTACAACAGGGGGTTGGGGGAGGTAATGATTACAGGCAACAGATTGTTCAAAACAGCTACATTTGGACGAGTCTATTTTCGCAAAACAATGAAAACTCAGTGTTCCTTTCAAAATGAAAACTTTCTTTTTCCACTATCAATTATTTCAGTCTCAGATATGCCCCGTTCTGTTTCTCCCACAATATATGACTTAATTAACAATATGGTCGATTTTTTATAAGCAAGTTATTTTAAAACTGTGATTCAAAATCGCATCTGATTTTTTCACTTGACTTTTGTAGTGTAGTTAGTTATTTTTGTTTGTTGTTTTTTGAGAGTCTTGCTCTGTCACCCAGGCTGGAGTGCAATGGTGCTATCTCAGCTCACTGAAACCTCCCCTCCTGGGTTCAAGTGATTCTCCTGCTTCAGCCTCCCAAGTAGCTGGGACTACAGGCGGGTGCCACCATAGCCAGCTAATTTTTTGTATTTTTAGTAGACACGGGTTTTCACCATGTTGGCGAGGATGGTCTCGATCTCTTGACCTTGTGATCTGCCGCCTCGGCCTCCCAAAGTGCTGGGATTACAGGTGTGAGCCAGCGCACCCAGCCGTTTTTGTTTTTAATGATGTTGCCAGGGTTAACTTTTTCCAAGAGTAGTTTTTAACAGTAAAAAACGGGGTGGGGGGAGGATATAATAAATGGCCAAAGAGGTTAAATAAATTATGTTACCTTCATTAAGTAAAATATTTGTAGCCACTATAATGATGTGAAATTTTATTTACTGGTAAGAAAAAGTTCATAAGGCATTACTGAGTGAGGAAAAAATCAGTTTGTAATACACCATGTATAATGTGTTTCCACTTTTTCTTTTAAAACATATTTTATATATTTAAATATATTAATATGCAAATATATAAATACACAAAATATGTTTATAAACATTCTAGAACAATACGGAACAAAATGTTGACAATGGTTATCTCTAGGATTTTAAGCCATTTTTGTATTCTTTGTATTTGTATAACAGAGTTTCTTTCCTTATTTTTATTTTTTTGAGACGGAGTCTCTCTCTCTTGCCTAGGCTGGAATATGGTGGTGTGATCTCAGCTCACTGCAACCTCCACCTCCTGGGTTCAAGTGATTCTCCTGCCTCAGCCTCCTGAGTAACTGAGATTACAAGCGCCTTCCACTACATCCAGCTAATTTTTGTATTTTTAGTAGAGATGAGGGTCTCACCATGTTGACCAGGTTGGTCTTGAACTCCTGACCTGAGGTGATCTGCCCGCCTTGGCCTCCCAAAGTGCTGGGATTATAGGTGTGAGCCACCATCCCCAGCCAACAGGGTTTCTTTATAATCAGGAAAGGCAATACTGCCTTTGTCATCTCATGAAAAACATTAAATTAAAGCACATTTCTCTCTAAGAACACAGATCTGGGATTATAACATGAGTCAAGTAGAAATGAAAAGAACTAGACAGGTTACACAGAGTCTTCTGTTGCCCAGCTCTCTTGTGGCCCTCAGAGCTGTCTTCACTTGCCAGCCCGTGCCCACCACAAGCCCCCTAACCCCAAGCCCTGGTACTCAGCACCACCAGCCTGGGCTGAACCCTCTCCTGGAGCTGGACCTACATGGAGAAAAAAATGTCTAAGCAGTGAATCCCAGCTGCTGAGGAGGCTGAGGTGGTATTGCTGTTGATAAAGCCACTGTCCCTCCAGCAGGAGGGAGACTTACACATCTGTACAATCTCTGGGCACAAGAATTTTCCTTTCTCTTTCTTCCCTCTCTTCCTCCTCCCTTCTTTTTTCCTTCCCTCACTTCCACTTCCCTTCCCTCATTTTCTCCACATCTCCCAAGCACCTGGAGGCCACAAGGGACACAGTGATGAATCACCCCAGGCCCCCTCAAGTGACCTGCAACTACAGAGAGAAGCAGGTGAGTCCTAGAGTTCACTTCTCTATGCTCAGTGCCCGGAGGGAGGGCCTCCCGGAGGAAGTGACCTCGGCACTCAATCCTGAAGGAAGAGAAGGAGTTGGTCAGGAAAGAGAGTGGACAAGAGCCTAATCCTCATGGGCAAGTTGGTTGCTGCTACGGGTTCCTGACTGGCCCTTCTGTTACACAGAACCAAGCCTGCCCAGAAAACGGCTTGACGCCCTTCCTTGGCTGGGGTGAGCTCCCTGGCAGCCCAGCCCACCCGGCCCTACGATGGCAGCAGGGCTTGGCTGACACTCATCCCAGCTGAGTCAGGGTCTGTTTCCGTGCTTGGGACTTCCTGGAGGACCTTGCACAACTGCCCCTGCCAGGTCATGCCCGGGTTTTATTGCTCTCACCGTCAGCTTGGCAGTTGTTCCTTATTTTGAATCCAGATCCTTCCTGCTGCAGTCAATCCAGGGCCTTTTGCTTTATCCCCAAGGTTTTCAAAAATGAAGAAAAACTGGTCTCCTTGTTCTATAGGAGCTCCACTGTGATTAGGTCTGTCCCTCCTTCATCGTTAAGCCTTTGGGCTTTAAGCAAAGATGTGAGGTCTGCTTTAAGCAGGAATGGACTTTGGGATCTTTATCATTACTCTCGTCTCGACCATGGACCTCCCTGGGCACCCAGATCAATTTGCCATGTGGGGGCCATACACGAATGGAAGACCAATCCAGAGGTTATGAGCTCATATAGAACATTGATTGTCTCTGTGGATAAATCCACTACCCTCTCCAATTTTCTTCTGGTAACAGTTTTAAAAGGTATCCTATAAGAAGATAGATCTTGGAGAGGTCAGTTTCAGGATGAGTCAACCTTGAAGTTACGCTTGGGAGCTGGAGACCAGGATGAGAAGATTGGAGCAAGGGTGACAAGGCTCATTAAGATCGCTCAAAGAAAGGAGAACAAATAAACATCCAGGGTTGTGTAATTTTAAAATGTTTTAATACATTCTATTTGCCGGGCACGGCAATAGGATTACAGGCTCACACCTGTAATCCCAGTACTTTGGGAGGCCGAGGTGGGCAGACCACTTGAGGCCAGGAGTTCGAGACCAGCCTGGCCAACATGGCAAAAACCCATCTCTACTAAAAATACAAAAATTAGTCAGGTGTGGTGGCGCATGCCTGTAATCCCAGCTACTCATAAGGCTGAGGCAGGAGAATTGCTTGAACCTGGGAGGCAGGAGTTGCAGTGAGCCGAGATTGTGCCACTGCACTCCAGTCTGGGTGATAGAGAGAGACTCCATCTCAAAAAAAAAAAAAAAACCACATTATATTCAACAAAGGACAGAGAAAGATGGATTGGAGAGAAGTGCTGGACACAATCAGAAGGGAGCAGCCATTGGGGAAGTTGGGCTGGAAGAGTTGGTAGAATGTTGGAGGTGGGAGTCTTGCAGGATAGAGCAGAATCCAGAACTATTGTCTGGGCAGCTCCCACCAGAACCAGAGGGGACAGAGGGGCCCTGAGGTTGGGGATGCAGAGGACTTTGGGGTCAGCATGGCTACACAGGCCTTGATCTCCTTCCTGTACTCTGTCATCGTGGAGGGTGGCCTTCAATGGAGGGCCCACATGCCAAGCACTGTCCTACTCCACTCTTCGCTCATCTGTCGGAGCCTTTTGATGGCATTCTGAGAGCTCTCTAGCTCCGATGCTCTGCCCACCTTACATTCCTGTAGGGAGCTGGGGCAATAGTTGGGACATTCGCCCCATGTAACTTCTGCCCTCTCCCTGCACTTTTAACTTGATTCATCCCAGCATGCAGCTTCACCTGTGGGTGCCCAGGGCATGTTCTGGTGTCTTCCTTCGTGCCAAAATCAATTCAGCCCAGAGAGGAGGTGACTTTAACTGGCTGTTGGGTCCAGAGACAGGACAATCAGAGACCCGTCTCAGGGCCTTTGCTCTGCATTTTTTTTTTTTTTTTCAGTTGGAGTCTTGCTGGGGCAGTTTTCTCTCCCGGGGGACATTTGGCAAGATCCGAAGACCTTCATTGTCACAGGGGGGTGGGCGTGCTCCTGACCACTCATGTCCAGCGGGTAGAGGCCTCAGCTTCTTTCCTCCATACCGTCCCTCAGGCTGTTCCTGGCATGCCTTTCTCCACCATGCCAACCCGTTAAACCTCCTCTCAGCTGAAATCATGCCACTTTCTTCTTCCGATCTGCCACTCTCTAGCTGGGTGACTTTTAGGCAAGTGATTTGACCTCTCTGAGCCTGAGTTTCTACCTTGTTAAAAAACAAATCCTTCCTTCGTGGTCAGCTGTGGGCAGACAAGGAAGGACCGTGCTTAGCTTCGTGCTTGGCTCCTAGAACACCCAGTTCATGGAGGCTGCTGCTGTGACTCATCTCTGCTTCCATCTTCCCCTGAGAATCCTGGGGTTTGTTGGTGAGTCTTTGGACTGCTGCATAGACAGCATACTCTGCAGTAGCAGGGAGAAGTGAGTGAAGACCCTCCCTTGAACTGTGCGCACTGGAAGAGCAGAGGTCACATCTTGATGTCTCGGTGCTTGTACAGTGCCAGGGATGGGGTAGGTGCTGAGCGTATGTGCTCACCCTGTGCTGTACAAAACACAGAAAGCCCCGCAGAGTTGGAACTGTAATTAGGCAGAGGGTGTGTGGGACTCCCCTTGAGCCTCTGACTTTGGCCTCTGCTCCAGGCCTCGGGTAAGCAGATGTTTTCTAGTAGATATCAGACTCCAGCTGACATCCCTCCAGGGACTATTCTCCCAACTTTTTTTTGTTTTACAGATTTTCTTTT